AGGACTAAAATTAGTGTAGATACTTAATATTGTATAAGTCACTACATGTTAAAATTATAAAAATCCACAAAATAATTAGAATTTATTCGAAAATTTTAGAACCATGTAGCCTCAATATTGTATTTCTATTTTAACTCCAATGATAATTTTTGCTATTTTCTTTCTTTCTCTTTTCACTCTCACCATAATTTTTGTGATAAATTTTAAATCTTGTCAAGCCTTAAGTTTAAATTTAAGTCTTCTATAAAAAAAAATTTAAGCACAAATAATCTCATTCCTTGCCCCAAGAAAAAAAAAAAACCCCCAATTTAATATTCCCACTTTCACCGTCTTATAGTCTTAACAGTTAACACAATTATTTTTCTTCTATCAAAAAAAAAATATTTTTTTTTCTTCTATTACTCTTAATATTATGCATATGATGGAGCTAAATGTCGCAATCCAAAAGTTGGGAGCAAAGTGCTCCCTGCCCTAACCCGAGAAGGGGCAAGGGCCATTTTTCCAACAAAAAAAAGTTAGGGGAATGCGTTTGAGTTTTACAGGACGATGGCATGCATGCCTTCTTACTTCTTAGCTTCCTTAACAGCGTCTGCGTCCGCCACAGGCCCACACCTCTAGACTTGCGGATGTCCCTGGAGAGATCACCAACAATTAACGGATATGAGCAGGTTAAAGGCGGTCGCTTTCATTTTCAGGGCCGCGGCTCTACGCGGTGGTTTTAGGCCTCACGCATTCGGCATTCTGCCGACAACGTTCTGCCGTTTTGCATCCACTTCAACCGTCAAACCTCCTCTTTCTTCTGGCGCCTCAGACATCTTTAGACTGAACAAGCAGCTATCCAATTTGATAAGAATTGGGAGACTCAGTGATGCAAGATTCATGTTTGATAAAATGACGCACAAAAATACGGTGACGTGGAATTCAATGATAAGTGCGTTTGTGAAACGGAGAGAATTGGCCAAAGCACGAGAATTGTTCGACAGAATGCCTGAGAGTGATATTGTGTCGTGGAACTTAATGATTTCGGGGTATACTTCTTGTCTGGGTACTAGGTTTCTTGAGGAGGGTAGGAGGTTGTTCGATCAAATGCCTGAAAGAGATTTTGTCTCATGGAACACGATGATTAGTGGGTATGCAAAGAATGGGAAGATGGATGAGGCTACAAGGCTTTTCAATAGTATGCCCAAGAGGAATGTAGTGTCCTGGAATGCTATGATCACTGGGTTTTTGCATAATGGTGATGTGGATAGTGCTATTGAATTCTTTGAGAGGATGCCAGAACGTGACTCTTCTTCATTAAGTGCACTAGTGTCGGGTCTTATTCAGAATGGTAAATTGGATGAGGCTGCTAGGATTTTGGTCAAATGTGTCAACCAGGATGATTGTAGACAAGATTTGGTGCATGCCTATAATACTTTGATAGCTGGGTATGGTCAGAGGGGGAGAGTGGATGATGCTAGAAGACTTTTTGATCAAATCCCATTGAAATCTGATTTAGGGGCACGAAAAAATGGGAGATTTGAAAGAAATGTTGTATCATGGAATTCAATGATAATGTGCTATGTGAAGGTAGGAGATATTGTTTCTGCTAGGCAACTCTTTGATCAAATGGTCGAAAGGGATACTTTTTCTTGGAATACCATGATCAGTGGCTATGTTAAAATGTCTGATATGGAGGAGGCCTCAAATCTTTTCTGTGCAATGCCAAATCCTGATACACTATCATGGAACTCAATGATCTCTGGGTATTCCCAGATAGGTAACTTAGAACTTGCTCTTGATTTCTTTCAGAAGATGCCACAGAAAAACTTAGTTTCATGGAACTCCTTAATAGCAGGATATGAGAAGAATGAGGACTACAAAGGAGCAATTAAGATTTTTATTCAAATGCAAGATGAAGGAGAAAAACATGATCGACACACTTTATCTTCAATTCTCAGTGTTAGTACTGGACTTGTTGATCTGCATCTGGGTATGCAGATTCATCAGTTGGTCTCAAAGACAGTTATTCCAGACGTACCAATAAACAACTCTCTGGTTACAATGTATTCAAGATGTGGGGTGATAACTGACGCGCGGACCATTTTTGAGGAAATGAAACTGTCAAAAGATGTAATCTCTTGGAATGCGATTATTGGAGGCTATGCATCACATGGTTTTGCCACAGAGGCTTTAGAACTTTTTAAATTGATGAAGAGGAAAAAGGTTCGGCCTACCTATATAACATTTATTTCAGTTCTGAATGCATGCGCTAATGCTGGATTAGTTGATGAAGGACGAGGACATTTTAGGTCCATGTTTAGTGAGTATGGTATTGAGCCAAGGGTTGAACACTATGCTTCCCTTATTGACATTGTGGGTCGACATGGGCAGCTTGAGGAAGCATTAGATTTAATCAATAGCATGCCATTTGAGCCTGATAAGGCAGTGTGGGGGGCTCTCATGGGTGCTTGTAGAGTCCACAATAATGTGGACTTGGCTCGTGTTGCAGCTGAAGCATTGATGAAATTGGAGCCAGAAAGCTCGACCCCATATGTATTGCTGTATAATATGTATGCTGATGCTAAACAGTGGGATGATGCCACAGAAGTTAGGGCGATGATGGAAAGAAACAAAATCAAGAAGAAACCGGCACATAGTTGGGTATAGATTCTTCTCATTGCTGATTGGATGGCTGACTGTTTTGAAGTAAACTAGAAATCATTCATGAGGACTAGTTGAACATAAGAATGCTTTGCTTGATGTGTTATTTACCTCACTTCCCAAGGGAGGGGAGGGGAGGAAGGAGAAGAAATCAGAGAAAATGGGGCTTTCTTTAACTTCCATACAAACATTCAGGAGCCTCACGATTTGGACCAGGAGCCATGGTTTGGTTAGCAATCATTTCACTCACTAAAACAGAAGAAAAATCAGATTAGTATATGATTAATTCCAAAAGCTGCTGATGTTCACCGTGCAAGCGACTGGTTCCTGCAGGAAAGTAAAAAGATCAGCATTAGAATGCATTCCATGAATTTCTGAAGAACTTACTTTTTGAAAATCGCTCCTCCATGCTGCTACTGTGGGTTTATTGGCGCCAAGGAAAAAGGTATGTTATATACTGTAGTTTCCAGCAATCACCTTAAACAATCCCTCAACTGGTATGTGGTTTCATGGCCTGAAGTTCTTGGTTACTGTTTCTTGAATTTTACATCAACTTCTAAACAATTTCTGTATTCTTGTTTATAAATATCTGGAGTTTATCAGAGCTAACTAAACAGAGAAAAATATGCTTCTATAGCCTGCCATTGGAGCATGTATTTTCTTTGAGGCGTTTTGTTCTGTTTCCTTCATTTTTTTTTTCCCTTTCAACTTCTCTGGTGGAACTTGCAAAGGAGAATATCTTACCAGCCGAGCTGACTTGATGTACAATTTCATGTAAAATTTTGTTTTGTTTTGTTTTTTGTTTTTTTTGTGCTTCGTTGTGAACTTGACTAGTTCAAGTCAAGCTGTCAACTGATCACATTGCTCTATATGTGGCATATTTTACCGGTAATTTGGACTTTCATTGGACTACTTTGACTTGTTTTCTACACCATCTGAAGCCAAAGGATTTATTCTTCAGTAAACTGATTTTTCTATAAAAAAAAAAAAGAAAAAAAAAAGGAGGTTTCATAGATTGGGATGGTCAAGAGTCCAAACAACCAATGTCCTCTGTACAAGATTTGATATCAATGCTGAGAGATAAACTCGAATGGTTTAAGATTGCGTGCTGCTGGGTCTTTTCATTCTCTAGGTAGTACAAATACCTGCTGTTGTGTCATGGCCACCAATTGCATGCATGTTCAAGAAAGCATCATGTTGCCTCTAGAAACAATCTTGCTTTGTGATTCTGGCTCAACTAAATGTAGACGGCTCTTCATGAGGGATATATTTATAAGAAATATGACCTTGTTATTGGAGGGACATTTAACCAAATCATTGCTTCTGAAATTTTGCAGTGGGCTCTAAACATTTAAGGCTTAGTTGCTGGCTGGCGAGGGGGCAGTATGGATGTCCCCTGCATATTTTCGATTCCTAACCACCCTGGAAATCAAGAAAATGGGCAGCTATGTTGGATTACAATATACATATATTTTTTGGGTCGGCAGTACCATACATTATTATGATCATGGATAAGACAACTTTATTGTTTTTCAATAATAAGCTTTCGTTTTGAGCTTTCCACAATTGGGTCCCTGTGCTCATTGAACGTATCCAATTTTAAGTTTCACCATCATTTGTAAAAACCAGTATGCCTATGCTGTACTAGTTCTTAAATTTTAATCACAAATCATTATTTATCTCCTTGAATTTGGGTTTTGGGAATCATAGACTTACTTTTTGAGTTCATGTGCAATCTTAGAGTTGGATTCTTGGATTGAGATGAGAACTAGCAGAGGTAAAGGGGCGTGATTATCTTCTTACAGAGTTGTATGTTGGATATAATTGAACTCTAATTCGATTTGGACTATGATTTCGTCCTTCTAAACTTGTCATCTTGTGGAACCTTGGGATATAAGCAACTGCCAGCCATTGTTTACGCAGAATGTGGTCATTCTATTTTCATTGGAATATATTCATTCTGTCCTTACAGAGTTGGCCTTTTCGGAGACATTAAGAAGACATTCCCGTATTTGTTCTTACTATGTGCTCTTACTATGTGCTCTTAGTCTTTACCCTTTACTAAGGCCTAGGGTAGAACAAAATGAACATCAATAAAAAAAAAAAAAAGAAAAAGAAAATCCCTTGAAGCAGATTCCTTCCCTAATTTTGCTGTCATTTCAGCAAGCTTTGTGTGTGGATGCTTCTGTTCTATGAATCGGGCAGGGTAATAGCTTTTTGGAGTGGAGAGGTTTTGAGAAGCTTCAATGTATGGTAATGGGTGGGTCTGAATCTCACTTTATATAGGTTTATATTCAATTTTCTAAAATTATTTCATTTTACTTTTGAGTAGAGTTATATTATATAGTTTGTTTTTGGGCATATGATGAAGGAACCTTTATTTTCAGTTAACTATATTATATTGTAAAATAAAAATTATTAAATAAAAAATTAATTTTAATATTAAGAGATTTATCATTTATTTTATAATTGAGTTAGAGAAATAAAAGAAAAGGAAAGGGAGAGGAAAAAATTTTTCCCCTCCATTTTCCTTTCCTTTCCTTCCCTCGCCCCATTTTCCCTCATTTAGATAACTAATTAAATTTTAAAAATTAAAACAAAAATTTTTTTTCCTTTGCTCTATTTTAAATTTTTTTATAATTAAATAAAAAAACCTTTTTTTCACTCTTTTCTCCTTTCTTCTCCTCCATTTTTCTTAATCTAAATATATTATTAATGGTTAATGTAGTATAATTCAAATCTCATTACAATTTTTCCCATGATGAATGAATCTTAGTGCATCCATCTCATGCACTTTATTTCTTAAAATAATTATTATTTTATTTTTTTTTTAAATTCAAAATTTAAAAATAATATTTATATCTATTTATAATTCTTTTAAAAAATAAAAGATAAATAGAGTCTTTTTTTTATAATTGGATAAAAAAATTAAAGTAAATATATAAAATAAAATTAAAATAAAAAATATTTTTTTATCGGATTACTTTAATTCATTATTTTCAAAAAAAATAATGTTAGAAAAGAAAAAAAGGAGCAATATATAAAAGGAGAGAGCTTTGCGCTGTTCGAGTTGTCTCAGAAATCGGAATTGCAATCAGTCGTGGGAAAACTGACTCGCTCGGACTCACTGAGTCACCTCCACAAGCTTTTTTTTTCTCTCAAAGAACCAATTTTTTCATCTCTCCGTTCTGAATAATGTCGAGAAGGAATCTGGACAAAGCGGTGGTGGAACTTTGGCAACGGGAGGTCGGCCAGCTCTCGCCCAGGAATTTCGCTCACCGCCTTGCCGCCTCGGAGGTCTTACCCTTATCCTGATTTGGGTTTTCTTTTTTTTTCCTGTTACGATCTTGCTTTTCCTTCATTCTAGTTATGATCAATGTCAATTGATTTTTGAATTTTGATGATTTTTCTCTATTTCTGTATTTTGGGGTTTTTATGTAGCTATTTTTAAGTCAGAAAATGATGAAATGGACAGTGACTAATATGTTGTTTTCAAGGTTTTGATTAGCCTAAACTTGATTTTTCCAGGATCTTCTTCTCCGACTTGACCTCTACAGGAAACTTGACAAACACAGAGGTTGTGTCAATACAGTAAGCTTCAATGCTGATGGTGACATTCTGATATCAGGCTCTGATGACAGGCGGGTTATATTATGGGATTGGGAAACTGGGAATGTGAAGCTTTCATTCCATTCAGGTCATAACAATAATGTTTTCCAAGCCAAATTCATGCCTTTCTCAGATGATCGGAGCATTGTTACATGTGCTGCAGATGGGCAGGTATGGAAATACAAAACATGAATTGAAGTTGTGACTATATGTGAATTCAAGTGTTTTAATTCTTATTGAGAACCTTTGTTCAATTGTAGGTTCGACATGCTCAAATTTTGGAACGTGATGTCAAAACTAAATTGCTGGCCGAACACGACAGGAGAGCTCATAAGTTGGCTATTGAACCAGGAAGCCCACATATATTTTATACTTGTGGTGAAGATGGATTAGTACAACACGTGAGTGTACTTTAATTTTTTGTTGCCACGAAGTTGGAAGCTTTTGATAAGTTTGATTGTGGATTCTAATGCTTAGGGACTTTAGAATTGGGTTGTCAATTTAAATGGCTGGAAAATTCCCAATTAAAGACTTTTTTTAATGCCCAGCCAAAAAAAAAAAAAAGGATTCTTTAATGGAAGAATATTTTTCAAAGTCTTTTTCTTTGTGGCTGAATTTCAATGTCCTTCATTCTACATTTCTAGGTGCTGTAGTCTGACTTTTCCTCCAATAATTTGATCTTTGCCCTTCAGATTGATCTTAGAACTTCAGCTGCTACAAAACTCTTCACTTGCAGGCCAATTGATGATAGCAGTAGAAGTTACTCTCAAGTTATTCAACTAAATGCTATTGCAATTGATCCAAGGAACCCAAATCTCTTTGCTGTTGCTGGCTCAGACGAGTACACTCGCCTCTATGATATTCGTAAATACAAGTGGGATGGTTCAACTGATTTTGGTCAACCTGCAGATTGCTTTTGCCCTCCAAATTTGATTGGTCATGACCAATTTGGAGTTACTGGTTTGGCTTTCTCAGATCAAAGTGAGCTTCTTGTGTCGCACAATGATGAGTTCATCTATCTCTTTACTAGGGACATGGGACTGGGGCCTAATCCGGTTCCATCATCCCCATTGTCCACACATAGTGAAGAGAGTGAAAATGGATCTGCTCAACCGTCTGCATCCTTATCAGCCATGGAAGTTGATGAAAAATCTATCCCACAAGCTTATAAGGGGCACAGAAATTCTGAGACAGTGAAAGGTGTGAGCTTCTTTGGGCCTAAGTGTGAGTATGTGGTCAGTGGGTCTGACTGTGGTCGGATATTTATATGGAGAAAGAAAGGTGGAGAGCTCATTCGTGTTATGGAAGCAGATAAGCATGTTGTCAACTGCATTGAGTCTCATCCTCACACCACAGTGCTTGCTAGCAGCGGTATTGAGAAAGACATCAAGATATGGACTCCAAAGGCTGCAGATAGAGCCACTCTTCCTAAAAACATTGAACAGGTATGCTTTCATACTTTCAGCTGATAAGGAGAAAAAAAAAAAAAAACTGAAAATATTGCTGCAGCAATTGCTATTTGAGGGCTTTGGTAGATGCTTAGAGGTCTGAAGGTGATTTAAAATGCCAATTCATAGAAGTGCGTGCTTGGCATTGAGACAGGGTTGGGAAAGATCTACACCACTCACTTCCCCCACCCCCTGCAGTCTAACCTCATAAACATGATTAGGGCACCATACAGCTGATTGAATCATATCAAGTTATTTTGGTTACTGGATTTCTAGACTTGGTAAAAAAGAGTAAAAGAAACTTTTGCAACTTAGGTTTTGTACTTTGGATTTATTTTTTAATTTGACTTTCTTTTTATTTCAATTTAGAATTTATCTTCTGAGAAAAGGGAGAGTGGGAGTGTAGAAAGGTTATCAGAGAGTTTGTGAATGAGCAAAATCCTATGGTTTTCAATTGGTTTTAGCTTTAGTTGTTCTCCATTTTTCTCTTAATGATTTTTATCCCTTTGGTTTTCATGCTTGTTGCAATTCCTAAAGATTTATAAGGTATCCTTAGAGGTCTGTAGATATGGGGAAATTGGACATAGGAAAGATCCCTAGTGGCCTCCACCGTTTAGAGGTACTGACAGGCTTTTCTGAATTTAATGCCAATATTGGCATTTTATTGTTTATTAATGGATATATGGATTGGTTAGCAATACCTTGGCTGCAGACTAATGAGAAGCAGAGGAACTAATTTCTCTGCTGTTACTTGTTTGGAAAAGGTTCTCAAACCCCGTGGCTTTCATTGGTTTCCCTTTGATGGAGACAGCAGCGATGAGGATGATGATAGTCTATATTTTTATGATGAGGAGGAGGATGAGGATGAGGAGGATGGTGAAATCTTTGACGATGAAGATGATGATGATGATTGCATGGATGATGATGAGGAGGAGGATGTTAGAGGTGGTGCTGGTGGTAGCAGCAGTGATGAAGACATTCATGCTAGTGATGATGAAGATTGGGATGAGGATGATTGTGATATTGATGATGACATTAATGACGTTGATGATGGCAGTGACAATGTTAAATAATTTATTGCATCGGTTATGATGATGCTACTAATGATGACTGTAATTTTTGCAATGTGTCCAGTTCAAACCAAAGGCTAGATCTAGGGGCTGGATGTTCCGATTAGCTTCACCAGAGGACCTGATGCTGCAGTTATTTTCGCTGCAAAGACAGAGAAGTAACCAAGAAGACAATGGAGAAAACTCAGCTGCAGGTCGGGAACTTCTAGACCTTATATTGGCATTCAATGCCAACAGTGATGCTTCTTCGGACGAGGGAGAAGATGCCTCTGCACCTGAGGATTCTTGTGATTGAGTGATTTTATATCAACTGTAGTAACTGTACATAAATATAGGGCTTAACTGCTCAAGTTACATCTTACAAATTGACTGGAGTTTCTGCAAATTTTGCTCTCAGACTGCTTATTCTATTATATATTAAATTTCTTTTTCCTTAATTCCTCTGGCTATGTTGTTCTGATGTTTATTTCACTGTGTACTTTTGAGATTGTTTATGTAAAGATTAAGCCCTGCATACCATTTTCTTCTTTTAGAAATTTTGAAATGCAGGGCAAATCACGAATCCAAAGAACAGAGCATGGCAGCCATCATTGAGATTTTCCGAGACTTCAAAGAAACGGTCAAAGAGCACATGGGTGATTTTCTCTGCATTTTCTGTATTTTCCAGAATGCCATATCCTGCATGTCATTTCATGCATGCATATATATAGAAATATTTGGATTGAAGCTTCTGTGACGTGCTTGTCATCATCAGCTTATTTGGATTGAAGAAGCTGTTATTGATATTGATATGTAAATTCACAATCATCAGGACTAAAGGGTCTGAATCCCTTTGCTAGTTTTCTCCAAAGGGATGGATGTTTATATATATTTATCTTGTAGAGGTTGCTATGCTGAGGAACTCATCCATGGCCTGAACAGAGGATCCTTTAAAACCATCCCTTTCTTGGATTGCATCTTCCATTTTCTTTTTAATTTCCAGGGCCTTTCTCCTCATCTCCACTCCTTTTTCTGTTTGTCCCATCGCCATCTTGATTGTTCTTGCAACATCGTCACACTTAATAGTTGCAGACTCAGTCCCTCGAGCCATTTCCAAGCAAACACCGACTTCCTTCTCCAGGAAGTGGGAGTTGAAGCGCTGTTCTCCCTCCAGAGGCCAGCCAATGATTGGAACCCCATTACACAAACTTTCCAGGACAGAGTTCCAGCCGCAATGGCTAAGAAACCCTCCTGTTGATCTATGGCGCAGAATTTCCACCTGGGGAGCCCATTTATAAATCAAAATCCCTTGATTCCTACTCCTGATTCGATCCTGGAATCCATCAGGTAACCATTCTGGATTGATTTCTTCTGCCACACTGAATCCCACGGGTGGCCTAATTACCCAGATAAATACCACACCACTTTCCTCCAAACCCTTTGCCAATTCTCGCATCTGGGAAGGTAGGATGGTGAATTGTGATCCAAAACATACATACAGAACTGACTCTGGTGGATGAAGATCCAGCCAGGCAGAAAAATCATCTGGAAATTGAGATGCCCTCTTGGGGGAAGAACAGATTGGTCCAACCATGTATATAGGCTTTCCTCTTGTTTTTCGGTGAAAGTACTTTGCCCCCATCCCATCCAACTCCGGTATGCTATTCAACAGAATTGCATCAGAGCTCAAACAGAACAAGAACTGCCGTTCCCGGAAACAGAACCAAGAAACTGTTTCATCACTATACTTGAATTCACCCCCTAGTTGGGTTTGGTGAATTCTCGAGGCCTCAGGAAAATCAAGGAGCGAAAATTCTTCCCCATTCTCTCTTTGGCTTATGTTCAATGAAAGAGAAAAATAAATCCCCATGCCATAACCAGCCCCTGCAATGAAAACAGAATGGAAGATTCCTAGCTCATTGGCAACCTTGATAGTCCATCCGAGGAACATATCGGAGATAATACACGCCGGTGCCTTCCCTTCTTTCTCGGTAATGCTTATTAAGAGATTCCTGAAGTGGGGTTCAAGATTTTCCGAGGCTTCAAGGAAACGAGTGGAGAGTTCAGGGGAGAGTTCCCCCATGTTTTCTGCATTCACCGGGAGGCCATACTGGGCAGAATTGAAGGGGATTTCGGCAAAGGATATGTTAGTCTTGGAATCAGGAGGAAATGATGATTTGAGTTTTTGGATGTTCCAAGGAGTATTGACAATGGTTATGGTGCAGCTTCCTCTTTGTACTAGCTTTTCCGCTAGTGCCATGAAAGGGTTGAGGTGGCCGTGAGCCATGAATGGAAACATAATGACCCTCTTTTTTCTGTCACCAACAATGACTTCGTATTCAGCCATGGCGGGAAAGCCGAAAGAAAGATCAGAAGATTAGAGATGGAAGATAGGCATCTGCAATGCATAAGTGCATATCGTAATTGCTTTCATGCAATATATATCCAAAGCTGAAAGAAATGGCAGCGAACTTGTACATTTTTCTGTCAAGGTTTATAGCGTAAAGTTATGGGTTTCCTTATTATTGGATGCGTGACATTGTAGTCAATTGATTTTAGATATTACTTTCCCTTCTAATAAGATTGTTAAAATCGATATTTTACTTAAGATTAAAAAGACAAAATAATATCATAAATAAAATCCTAAAGTCTTAATAAATTAAATTTGTGTATTTATATAATTAAAAAAATAAATATAAACTATATAAATATTTTAAAATAAATTATTAAAGCTGTTTATTGATGAAATAAGTATAAAATAAAATATTTAAAAATTTAAATACAAAATACTTAATAATTCATAATATAATTTAATACTTAAACCTGCAAATCAAAAAGAAAAAAGACAATAAGAATGTAAATAATTAAAAAAATTATTATTAACATAAAAGATAAAAAATAAATTAAAAAAATTATCGATAACTTAAGTGATTCAATGATAATTCCTTTTTATTAAAAGTAAAAAATTCTGAGTTTACGTATGATATAAAAAAAAGATACACGATCTCACAATTTTGCACGCGATGTTCAATAGATTTTTTAACATCCACGATTTTTATCTCAATTGGATCGTTGAAACCAAAATCGTGCGATCTTAACAACCATGCCTTCTAGTATGTAAATTTTATTTCATAGTTAGAGGACGGATTTAGACTAATTTCGTGTTAATGCAATCTAACCTCTTACATAGACCGGTCCTTTCATTCTGGCATTAAGGCCAGAACTAGCTAGTCCCCATCAAATCCCGTAGCAACTAGCAAGGAAGCTGCAGCATCAAGTTTCATTGCTAAAAAAAATATAACCATATACGTTATCAGAAGTGTTTTTTTTTTTAACCAGAACACCTTTAATGAAACTCCCCTCTATGTTTATTCAGTAATGGTATTTGGGTAACATGAGTACCTGAACTGTAGTCTTTTTTGTGCAGTTTGTATTAAAAAACACCAATCTCCTATGTTATAGGCATTAAGGTGGAAATATAATACAGAAACTGATAAGGTTCTGTCAAGTAGCCTATATGATTTATGATCCTATTTGCCTCTTCTTGATAGAGAGTGGCACAGCCAGCTAATATAGCATAACCTTCCGTTAGGGACCAACCTCATCGCATTCACCCAACTGCATTTAGGTTTTTCGTCATTTTTATCGCCGGTAAACAAGATGGAAAGTGACTCCCATGTCACAGTCCAATTGCCTAAGCTGCAATAAAAGTATAACTGTCTCTTTAATTACACTTCCTCTATTTTAGGTAAGGTAGAATGCTTGAAACTAAGCCTCTATGCGGTTGCTGTTGATTCTGGGGCTTGGAGGAATCAAAGGGGCACTTTTTATCATCAAACTCTGGATGAATGAAATCATCTGGAAAGAAAAATTAATTTTAATTCTGTAAGCTAATCAAGTAGAATTGCGAATAAAAATAAGGCAGGAAGCATTCAGCAGTGTCATCATGTTGAGTTTCTAATTGTATTAGGCAAAGGTTCATACCGATGCCAACACGATGCACATGATGCTAAAGCCTGGGAAGTAAAAAGGAGCATTCTCAGATAAGAACAGGGCTGCATAGACAGTCAGAAGAAGTCATATTACTCGGAGTTGTAGAACAAACAAAAAACAAGGTCGAAAGAAAAGGAAACAAAAGGGTTTTGCTTACCAGTCAGAGGACTGAAAATTAATGGAGAAATTATGTTGGCAAAGGAACTTATGCCTGAGATGCATCCTTGAGCCTTACCCTGTTATGATCATGTAATATTCGAGGCTAATAAGTTGGCTAAACTTATAAGGTCAAAGAGAAGTGGTAATGCCTGAAGATGAGAACAGGAATAAAGGGAAGAAAATGCTGTGCTGAAAGTACCTGTTCTCTGGGACCGATTTGTTTTGATGCAATGCTGCGTAACTGTGTAAATCAGAAAATTTTGTGAAAAATTTATTGTCTTTCAACTGACAAAAGAAATAAAGTGCCTTGGAGATGAAAGTGGGAAGCTTACACATGGTGGTGCAAAAACCATGAATATTGAAAATACAGTAGCTGCATAAGGAACCTACATGAAAATGAAGCAAATACCAAATCATTTGGATGAATTAATAAAAGAAACACCTGCATGATATACCAGAAGCTTGCAAATTTTTATGAAGAAATTACCCAAGCTGACCAAGATATACTGTAAAGAAACCCCTGCATGATACAAGGTTGGTAAAATTCATCAGCAGTTTTTTTCTTCAACAGATACAAGGATGTCAAACGTAATCTCATAAGCTTTACATAGATAGAAACATCAAAATGAAAATTTTTTACTGGGAAACAACAGAACACTTACATGCATACAGGAAACTAAAAGTCCTATTGACAACAACTTCCTCTCCTCTATGTGAGGTGCCAACACAGGCATGAGAAGCAGCTGCAGGATTAAGAAGAATTCATAAGCAATAGGAAAAAAGAGGAGAAAAATTCAGAAATTTATGAAATAATCAAGATTAGTGGTAAAAGATTGTACCTGTGAAACAGTGGCTAGAACCCCAGAAATTAACATAAGATCAGCAAACTGATTTTTGTTGAAGTGAAAACGTGCCTTCAAAAAGTACTGCATGGTAGGAAATCATTATACATAGCTGCTGTGTCTTGGAAGGTCTAAAACAAATTTTCCCATCATTTTCAGTCATGCATATTTCATTTATTAGAATTTAGGAGAATAAAGATATAGTCTCAAGTTTGAAACAATTGGGAAAGACATACCATCGTTGAAGCCAGCATCCCACCTTCTGCAAGACTGCTGAAGAAGGCAACAACTGCAGCTTGTGAAAATGAGGGACTGGAATCCCAAACTTCATTAGTCATTGCAAACAAATGAAAACAAGACAAAGACATAAATGCTTCTTCATCTTAGATAACCAATCAAATAGTTACCTAGACCGCAGCAAGCAAATGAGATCCCCCACTGAAGGTATTTTCTTGAATGATGCTATGTTACTCAGATCATTACCATCGTTTTGAATGGCATCCTGTCCTTCCTTCAGGATTGGCCTAGTCAAACCAGCCGCATCATCAGGCAAACTTTCCTCCAAGAAAATTCTCATGTACACTGCAGCAAGCATTGATACAAATACAGCAACCTGAAAGTATTTATCAACTGATAATCAGACTCAGGATGTGAATATTAAAGATGTCAAGATAAGCATTGGTAAAGAAGGCTAAGGGAAAAACCTGAAATGTGGAAGCAGTAGAGAGGAAGCGAGCTGCTAAGGTTCCACAGACAAACGAGGCTGAGGCTACACCTGAAAGAATTCCAAATGCAGATGCCCGATGCCTACCAGGAAGGTTGTCTGTCTGAGAAGCAAAGATTACCAACTTCAGCAAATGGAGGTCAAAACCAGTTTATTTGTTTTAGATAAAGTTTATGGGAACAGAATACTGTTAAGAATTAGAGCGTGGTTAGTAGTTAGTACCAGATATGCTAGAGCAAGGCAGTTCATGCTGCCTTCACAGACCATGCTAGTGAGAGTCCTTAGAATGTAATAGGCATAGAAATAGTAGGTAGTCCTGCTGTATGCCAATACAGCTGCAATCCAAAATTGTAGAAGTATACCATAAGCATATGATGTATCAACCTTGACAATGTTTTTAAAGGAAGAATAAAATCAAATTTGTTTTCATTCCTTCAATATTATTCAGGCAACTAGCCTCCCCAGACTTTTTGCTTGAAAGACCAGGATGAAGAGAAATTAAAACTCTATAGAAGGGTCATGGTTGGGTCCAAGGTTGACATAACATGTGACCCCTCTCCACTTTTTTGCATCATAGATGTTGGCTATACAAGTTATACAACAAAATAGCTTTCTTTTAGTCTTAGTCCTGCCCGCATCCATACCAAAGTTTGAATATGAAACCTCACACTTCTACTCTCATGCTTGAATTGTTCTACTTTCCCTTAGGTGACACCCCTGACCACTTTTGACAAAGAACTAAAGACTTTGAGTCCCTCGTACGTATATTTCTGGTCCACAGATTATTGGGACCTTACGCATGCGCAATGCTGTAAAGGTGGATTGCAAATGCCAATTTCCATAGGCTATATGTCCCACAATCTTCTACACAACTTGGACGGGACCCAAGACAAGATGGCATCGTTTGAATAAGACTAGAGATAACCCTCCACTTACCAGGCCATTCTATGTGGTGGAAGCTTAGTCATCACAGGTTTTGGTCTTAATTAGGGGGAAAAAAAAAAACAATTTTAATTAAGAAAATTAATTACCAAGGGGAAAAATGGACAAAGCCATAGGCAGTGTGAGCAACGCCTTTCTCCCATACTGATCTGAAAGGTTCCCAATCAGTGGCATCATCACCATCGTCCCCGCTCCTATAATCTGCATCACATCCCCACACAAAGTATCATCAAAAGAAAGCAAATTACCAATTTCCCAAAATTAAATTATATATATATATATTTTTTGGCAGTATAAACAGTAATCTATTAATTAGAGTGAAGATAAATTATATAATTAATTAATTTCTTGCAAAATAGAGCTGGGGTATATTCTTCTATCCAAATTTAATGACAGGATTGCAGGACAGAAATTTCAGGTTCATTCTTTTGTTCTTATATTTCATTAAAACTTACAAACGTGCATGGCCACTTTCTACTACTAAATAATTAATTGTTGCCAAAATGTCAGGCAAGAAGGTGCCTGTGTGTACTCAAGTCACCGTAAAATTACAGACCATGCAATTTCTATCTGTTTGCTACGAAGAAGACAACATTCACACATTAAATCCTTGAAAAATATCATACAAGTGGGTGTCCATCAGCAGCTGATATGGTAGGTTTGAACTGTAGATGGGCAATAAAGACATCCAAGCCTTGTTTAATTTTTCATGGCTGTATATGGGGCAAGAGATAAGTACACATAATTCTTAAAAAATAAAAATTATTTAGGCTTATCATATTTTTTTAGTACTACTTTTAATAACAAGCTGTACCACACAAAGGGATAATCCCCTTTTTCCCTAACCATTTTCCACCATATTTTATCATTTTAACTCAAAATATTATTAAATTTTTAACCACTAAAACATTGATATTTATTAGGTGAATATGACGTAATTCATTATATCATATTCAAGACTCTAGCTATATACCATAACTTCTTCTTGATTATAAGGGCGAAAAAATTTGTACCCTCTTACTAGCAAACAGTTGCCTAAACTTCAAAAGCAAAAAAATAAAGGTAATAATTTTGTTAAAAAAAAAAACTGTATTTTGGGTGTGTGATAAAAAAATATAGAAATTCTTAATTAAAAAGAAATTAATATCAATTATCAAAATTCAATACTGTATATCAAAAATATTAAGTGTGAATGGAATACCAAGATTTATGATAAATTATATTCAATTCAACTACCTTTTTTTTTTTTAATTTTTTGTAGTTGTCCAACTCAACTACTATTCCATGGACCATAAAACAAAAAATCTCCTATATTCCTTACCACCATGTTTAATTTTAAAAAAAAAAAAAAAAAAAAAAGAAAAAAGATTCAACTACTGTTCCTAGTGGGCACGTGGGATGGAAGTGAGACTGCACGTGTCTGTCATTTCTGTTTATGAGGGAGAAGTGCCAACTGCAAACGCACTTCTCTGCTTTGCAACTTGTAAATGAAAATCAATTCTCATTTATTTTGAAGAAAATGAAAAAGGAAACATCTATGGACAATTCCCAACCAAATCAAAAAAACAAGATGAAGAAGAACGACTGTGAACATCGATGCTTTTGATTTTTAGTAAATATATATACCAAAATTTCCTTTTGTATTTTGGAGAAGAAAGAAGAGGCAGTTGAACAATTTAGATAGGTTGAGGAAAGAAGAAAAGGGAGAGTGTAAAAGTGAAGAAGAAGAAGAAGAAGAAGAAGAAGAAGGGATATTGAACGTACCGCCTGCTGGAATCCAGTGAGGAAAATGGCAAGAGAGCATTCATCTTTTCCGGGACAGAGTGCAGACATGGTGACATCTGTAATGGCCGGAGTCACGATGAAGCTAGCAAACCCTGAGAGGAACACCGTCACAAACAGGTGGCTCAGCCCTGATAACTTTCCCTTCTCCATGGCTAAGTTACTATGTAGCACTACTCCTGCTCAGAATGGAAGAAGAGATATATAGTCCTTTTAGAAAAGAGGAAGATGGTATACATGGGGTCAATTGTTCTGTTGCTTTTGCTTTTTAAAAAGAGTAACGATAATGGGGCATACGTCATTTAGTTTCTAAAAAAGGGTCTATTTTCAGTTGAAATTTGAAGCCGAGTAAAAAATATCAAAGGGCATCATATTCAATGCTAGTTATTTAATATAATACCTGATACAAAATAAAAAAAATTTAAAAATAATTAAAAAAAAATTAAAATAAACTTTTAGAGGGGTATTAACTATCGAGTCTGGTAGGTTGTATTTGGATTACAATGTTGGAATATTACGATACATTAATTATTAAATAAAAGATATTTTTTAATATTTGAGGTTTTTTAAAATTTAATAATCAGTGTTTTATTGTTTAATATAATTTGAGTATTCGAATCAGTGATTTGTTGTTCAATATAATCAAAAAAGAAAATATATGATTATAATATTAAATAATATTATAAGTTTACAATATAATATATCGTTATATAATTAATTTTTTTTATTTATAAATTTATTCATAATATTATGTATATTTATATATTTAATAATATATCAGTTTTATTTAATATTATATTATAATTATAAATTTATAATTTTACATATTATTATAATTATTTCATCTCTGTAATCCAAACTAATTCGAACAACAAAAAAGTCTTTTATTTTTAACCTCTCAACATAATTTCAATTTATATTATATAAATTCATCATTGGACATGTAAGAGTTTAATTTATTCAAATAACACTTTTGTAAAAGTTGTACTAAAACACCATTTCTATAAATATTATAGCTTAGTTACACATATGAAGAAGAGACACCGAAAAAATAACCAAAAACGTTAATCAAATAACAGTAGTGTTATAATATTCATGCCTTGTAAGCATTTTTTTATAAAAAAAAAAAAAAAAAAAAAAAAGTAAAGAAAGAGAGAGAAGGTGATCCATGTGGTGGGTCTCATTCTGTTCTATTATTCTTTTATGTACTGAAAATGACAAAGGAAAGCACTGCAGGAGGATGCGTAGCTGCTAAGTTCATGTTTAGCTACTACGTAGAAGCTGACAGAAAAATTAATGTTGATATTATGATAAATAGACAAGTTCGAAAAAATCAGTTGTAAGAAATTTTCAGAGGTTTAGGAGTATGTACAGTTTGCCCTCAACTGACAAATGACCAATGTCGGCAAAATTTAGCCAATCGGGTAATTAATATATACTTTCCGTTTTAAAATAATAAATATTTTTTATTTTAAATTTATTTTAAATTAATAAATATTTTTATATTATAAAATAATAAATTAAATTTTTTATAAACTCTTAACATTTAGTAATCATATTGAATTTGAATTAATTCAGAATTAAATTATATTAGATAAAAAAACTTTCTTAATACTTATTTTTTTTTATTCATAAAATTTGAATTTAAAATTTTATTTTTAAAAAATTAAAATTTTTTTATTCGAAACTAATAAATTGATAAATAATAAATTAATTAGTGTTTGGTACGGTGAGAAAATGGCAGAAAATATACTGGTTTGGTGGGTAACATAGTGGGTCTAAAGTAGAAGGGAAAATGAAGTAGGCAGAAAGTGAATAAAAGAAACACTAACGAGGGTAGAAAAAATGAAATTGGGTGTCGTCCTATTGCATTAAAGTATTTTGGGACTTTAGGGGCGTGATGAGGCTAAAGCTTTTAATATTAAGAGAAAAATGATGAAGATAACTTCATCTGATGTCCAAATAAAAAGTTTGCTTCAACGCAAAATACTCATTAAAGGTCGTTTCCCATCAATGCCTGTGACATTTGATTCGCATGATGGGACCTTATGAAGTCAGGTTGTGTGGGTCTCGTCAATAAAAATCTAAATGTGTACTCCACAATTGAGGTTGTTTTTATTAGGGGTGACACCATTGAATTGTAGTTACAATTAAAATTGAATTATCGATTAATTGAGGTTTTGGTTACAAAACTTTAGTAATTATTAATCAAATTAATTTTTTTTATTTTTTGGGGTTAAAGTTTTTAAAATAACCATTCAACTCCGTTCCAGTTTAAACCAAAAAATTATATTTGTCCAAATATTTAGAGTGGGAAACTGGGAATGGGATTTGGGCTGATTATTACCAAACATGAAGCGTTGTTTTAGCCCAAACAGAACCCAATGTTGGACTTTTTTGGGCTTTACTGGGTCCCAAAGGGCCAGTGAGGTACTGGGATGGGCCTATGGGAAATGGTAACCAAATTCATAACTGTGGATTGGATTTTCATTTGTTGGAACTTGGATTAGCATTTACGAGTAGGATTTAGCTCCCGAAGTTGAGTTGGAAATTGGAAACGGAAAAAATGGGCAAAACTCAAAAATGAAACAAAATGTAAAAAATTGCATTTTAAGATGGAATTTAATCATTTTTGAAAAAAATATTTATCAGCCAAACTTACAAAAAAAAAAAGAAAAAGAAAAAAGAGAAAATTATCTTTAAAATATGTTTTATTGAAAAAGATTAAGTTATCTTAGTTTTCAAAGCACAATAAACTTATTTTAATATATTTTAATAATATTTTATTAAAATAACATAATTTTAAAGTTTTTTTTACTTAAAAAAAAATTCAACTAATAGAAACTAATCTCATTATCTTTAAAAAAAAATAAAATAAAATTCTATGGACTAAATTGTTATATATGAATGAAATTATGTAGTTAAAATTGAATTTGTAAGTTTTTCCATTTTTATATTGGGCGTGACATGCATTAGATAAAAGTTACTAATCCAACATTCGGCCTAGTTGGAGTTTTTGTAAAAGAACCACTGAAGCAAAAATCTTTCTATAGATCGATACATCATGAAATTATTTAAATATTTATTATCATAAATCATGTTAAAAATTCTATTTAAGAAGTTAAAATTTTTTATTATGTAAATTATTTTAAGTTTCATTTGAAAACTAAAATCAATTTTATACAAAAAGTAAGAATTGATCTAAGAAAAGCTCAATTGACCTAACTTCAACCTACATTTTTATTTTTTTATGAATTAATCTTACGTGTTATAAAAATTAGTACAAACCCACATTAAAAATTCTATTTGAAAAACTTAGCTATTAAGCATTGTATCATAAAACATGACGTTTAAAGTTTGAAGTTCAAAATTCCTCTTCTATTTCATACGCTTCAACAATGATAATTACCATTACACTTGCATTTCAATAAAATTTTGTTTGGCTTCAAATTCCAAATTTTATTTATAATACATTAGATGATAAACTATATAAAAATGATTGTTTTTTTTTTTTTTTTTTTTCTCAAAATCTTAAAATTTTCAATTTCAAATTTCAAATTCTTAACCACTAAAAAATTCTAAATTTCATAATAAATAAACATTGATAAGAATTTAGATCAATTGGAACGCCTAACTTCAACGACTAACATATAGAATTAACAATTAAAAATGTACTTGAACAACAAAAACACCTATATACGGTGTATGGTTTCTTGTTTTGAAAATCAACATTGATATGTAGAGCCTTGCGAAGAGGAGAAGAGCATTTAAAGTTTTTTTGGTCACAAGCTCACAACAACACCCCATGAGGCTGCTATGACTTTGGTATATATACACATTGAAGTTAAGATCTATAATTGAGTGGGACAGCTAATAAACCAGCTAACTCAAGCATTGACATTGACAATCACCACCCCGCTGGAATTCCCAATGAATTATTTAATCACCCTACAGACCTTTATCTGATGCAAATTAAAGAATGTTGTTCCTGTTCTCCTAATTCAAAGTTTCAAACCCATTTTCTAATCCTCAAAGTCGTTTTTCGGTATGGTAGTTCCTGAATTCCAGCAAATCAACAGGGTATTGCATGAGAGGGTCGGTTGTAATTCCTCTACGTTTTCAATGAATAAATTAATTAATGAAAACGAGTAATGATTCATCAGTTGGCACGCAAGCAAACGAGTTGGTTATATTCAACTTCAAGCTTTGCTGTTTGGGAAATTTCAACGAACGGTTTTTTAGACAAAGCTATATATATTAACATAGATAAACAGAACCAGGGCTGCTACACAAACACAAGCGAATTGAAGATCATGAAGTGGAAGAGATTGCTGAAGAGAGAATTCGGGAATTGCCTGATCAATGGCCGGAGTCGTGGCACTTCGATTAGGAGCAATGTATTGGAAACAATCGCACAAGGCGGAGGTGTTGTTTCTCATGTTAAGGAGGACGGAACTGTAAGAATGAAGATTACGGTGAGGAAGGAAGATTTGAAGCAAATGCTGGGGATGATTAACTGTGAGAAGAATACAATCAGTACTCACCTATCACCTTCCTCGCCGTTCTCCCCCGTGGAAGAACGCTTGAATCTTTTGCGACGGAGACATCTGTTAAGAGAAAATGCCATGAGGAAGAGCTGCCAGTGTTCATGGAGTCCTCAGCTCCAGAGCATTCCGGAGGATGAATGAGGATTAACGAACTTACAACAAAACATAATCCATGGAATCAAATCTCACCTTTGGTTTTCTTTCCTTTCTTTTTTTTTTTTCGTTCATTTTTTTGGCCGTAGTTTCCTTTTCAATCGTTGGATATGAATGTTGACGCGTTTTTTCTTTTTTTTGGCACAGTGGAGGCCAGCCCTTCCTCTTCCAACTCAGCTCACCCATGTTATAGAATTCCAACATAATATTTCTATTAAATTATTTAAATTGTTAGTGATAGACTATCAATTTATTGTGATTTTAGAATTATGATATCCTTCAATGTAACAAAAAAGATAAACTAATAAAGGAATATTTATTTTTTATGTAAAGTAAATGAATGTTTATATTTTATATTTCTATATATGTTGCAATGTTTGTTTGTTTGTTTTATTGTTTGTAAAATACTAATCATTTAAAGTCTGAATTATTAAATGATAATATATAATATTTTTACTTTGAATTGCACAATGGAATGCAACTCTTTCATCTTTGAACTCATTTCATCAATATGTCATATGACTTAAATTTAAGATTTTCTACTTCAACTAGAAAAAAATTATTATTGAATTATTTATATTACTAGTTATTAAATCTCAGTATATTTTTTTATAAGAAATAAAGAATTATATTATAATGAAAAGAGATTACAGTTGAATTTCCATCTTAAGGCATTATAGCCTAAAATAAAATTAAAAGCATAACCTATAGCACTAATAACAGATTGAATCCAAAAGCATTTATATTTAATCCAAAGTTTCTTGCTCTCAGTAGCAGTAATTTGAGAAGTTATAAATCTTTTCAAGGGCCTATCCATCTCCAAATCAATTTGAATTCTGATAGCCTAATGGAAGCCTTCATCCACCTCTAAAACATTTCCTAATGAACCCCTAATCATGTATCCAATCTGCTTTGAGTGCATACCAATAGGAACAACAAAGATTTGAACCTAGAATGGATTTGTAGAAAAATTATATTGCTCTGCAGTTAAAGAAGACTGAAATTGCTTAAGAATAATTAGCGAGTTGCTAAAATTCCAAGGACCTCTATGAAGGACTTTGTTGAGATCTCTGATGTCAAAGAATTGGAATAAATAAATCTTCTCCCTAATCTTAGAGATTATAAAAGCCTTCTTAGGGTTTCAAGAGACCATTAGAGCATTGTGAAGACCATTTAGGTTGATCATCCTTCGAGAAAGGATCTTCCCCACCAAGCACAGCTTTTCCACTTATGTGTGACCTTACTTCCAAGCTGAGTGCAGTTGAAGAATGTTGTCCTCATCCTCTACGATGTGAACACAACTAAGCATGGATCCAAATTCGTCATATGCCATTGTTACTAGGATGCCACACTCTCCAATACTAATGAGGGAATTGAAATTGGATTTGTACCACTGCCTTGAATTGCCTAAGGTTATAGCATTCCAAGCAAGGCGACAAGAACAGCTTATGCTGATAGAAGAGAAGAAGGGAAAAGACTCCTCAACCGCAGAGAAAACCCTAAGAAGATGCCTGTTGTCTCCAAAACCTTAACCCTAGAATTTTGGATCACAGGAGAGAGCCCTTAGAGATTCATTAAGTCTTAATATTAAATTTACTAATAAGTAATAGCTTGTTTGATTTAAAAGGAGGGGAATAAATTCTTTATTTGGATAACAAAAATTAAAAGAGAATGGAAGTAAGAAGCATCCTTTTAATTTTCTTTATAATTTTAGTATCACTAGAGGGAAAGGAGGGAAATTGTAGGGTATTTTCTTCATTCACCTCCCTTCCCCTCCATTTTTCACAAAATAAACAATGAATCAATATAATCTTATATGTTAAGTTAAAGACTCAAATATTAAAAGATATTTCATTAAAATCACTTGAAGATGGATTAATGTGCAAATACTTGACAACAAAATCTCTGGATTATTATAACAACAGAATGTTGTAGTTAAACTATCAAAAACAGATTGTATTACTTTTAATTATTAATGAAAGAGTGAAATTTTAATATCAAATAATCCACTCCCTCCATCAATAATTAAGATTAAGATATAGATATAGTCCGCACAACAAATTGCACTTCACTTTTCTCTTATAATAACAAATAATAGGAAAACATTAACAACTAATAACCTTAAAAATAAAAATAACTAACTTGCAGATAGCTGTTAAAAGTTGTAGAAAACAGGCATTGCCCATTGGATGTTAATGTCAAAAAAGTAGAGAATGATTGTACCTGAGTAACTATGGCAAACGGGCTGAGCCCGGCCCGGAACCAGCCTGGGTTTAACTCGGCCCAAGGGTGGTCAACAGTCCTAGGCCATGGAGTGGAGCTTAGCACATATGGGATTCATCTAGCTCTAGAAAAACTAAAAAATTCTATTTTTTACTCTTTCACCCCCACAATGATTCATATTTGGGTACAGTACACGAGGTTTGAACTCTCAGATGGACCCAATATATCTACGCCTGAATTGCATGGGCTACCCAATACATCTACGCCTAAATTACATGGGTTGTGTGGCCCATGGATATATCCACACCGAATCCAGCACGATCTCATTGAGAACTTTCGTCGAACCCGCGTTGGGTTACCTTACCTCCATCTTCATATGTGTGTACACAGCAAGAGGCAAACAAAAGTCAACTTTAAAAGGATGTTCTGTCACAAAGATAACATATAAGAAAACAATTATATAAGAGATTAATGTTTTTCAATTTAAAGTGCACACTAAAAATCACTTTTTTTAACTACAAAATGCAATGTCAAAACTAAAGTTTTAAATATCTAAAATTACATAATGAACATTCAACAAAAGATATTCTTTTATTAAAAATAAAAAATTTTAAATTTAAATTACATAACATACAAGTAAAATCAATTAAAAAATGAGAAAAATTTTCTCTTATTATGTGTCTTAAGATTTAAAAAAAGAGGAGGAGATATGCCTCGATTCAATCAACACTAAGTTTTCCACAATCAAATCCAGCCTTCCCAATCATCAATCCAACTAAGAATTTGGAAAGAAATTTTTGCCTCAAGAAACCCATGATCTTCCCACTACTTTGTTGTATAGTGCCAACTATATAAGCTGTGCTAATGAGCTCAAAACTTCTCCATCTTCTCTCTTTGGCATAATTCTCCAACCCCTTCTCAATTCTCTTCCATTCTTCCTCCCCTGGTTCTGATAAGGCCTTGGCAAGGCATCTAGCTAGTACAACACCGTCTTCCAGAGCAGAGCATCCACCTTGGCCAATGTCTGGGGTCATAGGGTGCAGGGCATCACCGGCTACACAGACATTACCTATACTAATATTTCCCCACAGAAGCTCCCATGGACGTCTGTATCTCAGTGGAGATGTTATGATGCTATCTAACTCAGTGCTTTCAACAATGGATTTCAATTGGTCAGGCAGATTTCCAAGCTTGCTTAATGCAAATTGCTTCAGTTTAGCTGGGTTGTCCTGCATGTCTTCATCTACAAATGAATCATAAAGATTTAGGAAATGAAAAGAGTATTGAATTCACCAAAAAAATTCCCAGAAGAATGGTTGATCAATGATCATTACCTCGGCTGGAGGGAGTGTAACTTAAGAACCAATATACAGTTTCATCATCACAAGGAACAAAACCAGTTCGCACCCCATTGCCAAAGGCTAGGAAGCATTCTGGTCCAAATCCATGTCCACCTTTGACATCTGCATAAGCCCTAATAGCTGCCCTCTCTGTAAAAACAGGGGTATTGAATCCGAGCCATTTTGCCACCACCGAATTAACTCCATCACACCCAATCAACACCTTTCATATGCAAATTGAAAGGGTTTAAGAAATGAGTCTCGAATTTAGTTTTTTTTTTTTTTTTTTT